TTATACGGTATCACAGAAGGTAGGAATTAATACAGAACTAGATCATTCATATATATATATATATATATAAAACGTATTTTATTAATTAATATTTCAAAAATTATTTTCTTGACGACTTATAAAAAGTCTAAACTCTAAATTTATCTCCTATAATAATTGTTTCTAGTTAATTCTACGAGTTAAAAGTAATGTAATCTAATATTTTGTTATTGTTAACTTATTTAGTGAAGTTTGTTATCGAAAAAAAAGGCAAAAAAAAAATTAATTAAACTTTTAATAAAATTACGATAATATGCAATTAAATATATCTAATAAAAATCTTAATTTTTTTTTCTAATTTATTAACGTAAATTTAGGCCGAAATAATTGTTAAAAAGTAATAAAAATTATATTAAAATTATAAATTTGATGTAAAAAAATATATACTTTTTCTTTGATAAAAAAAAGAAAAACGCATTATTTATTATCAAATTTAAAGAGAAAAATAAATTTGATGGTTGAACAATGTATTTAGCTTTCTAAATAATAAAAATATTCTACGTAAAATTAAATTATAAACGAAAATATGAAAAAAATTCGCAAACTTTCATCAACTTTCATTTAAAAAAATATATATAAATAATAATATTAAAAAAGTAATAAGAAAAATCCTATCTCAAGATAATTATGATATTAAATAATAAAAAAAAGGGGGAAAATGTTATAATAATAAAAATAAAAATTGAATATCTTAAAAGAATATATTAAATCTATTAAGGTAAGTTAATCGATGGATTCTTACTTTCGTGAGTTTTTCGATGAGCACGTAAATTACACGCAAGAGCGAACCTCTTCTGACAGTAATCACAGGCATGGGGTTTGTCACCTGTAAAGACAAAATGAACACTTTTATATAAAATGACAGGCAAGACTCGATAAAAATATCCGTCAGCTTAGCTAAAATATTTATTATTCAATTGCTTTATGCAATGAACTATTAATCAACAGTGCAGACCATTTATTTGAAAACATTTCCCTTCGATCGAATTGAGTTGAATAATGCAATGAGCGATGATGATGTCAATTTAAATATTTAAGAGAAACACCAATTTCTGACGACATGATACAAGATAAACCTTCCATCTTATGATTAATTTATTATTTTATTTTATTATTATTTCTTTTCTTTTCTTCTAGTGAAAATTAAAGAAGGAAAGTTTATTACATTGCTGCANACTTCGTAGTACCTATTGGTGACGAACGTAGAGGTGATGATGACTGTGTTTTGCCTTCTATGTTGTCGTCTGTGCGTTTTGTTAGCGCTATACCGTTACTGTTCTGATAACACGGTTGACAATAACCGTGATTGAGCATACGTGCCGATACAGGGAAGGAGTACATATAAATTTTATTAATATTCAGATTAAGGATAAAAGAATTTAGTAATAAAAATCGAAAGTAAAAAAAAAAAAACTTGTTGTTTGTTGAATTAAATCAGATTTTTCTTTACAGGTGATTTAATAAATTTTCGCTATAATTTATGTGTAATGATAAACTACTATAAAGTGTAGATGTTTTCAAATCCAGTCGGGTGGGTCACTCGCCTCTATTTGACGTGCCTATTATCTCAGATGGTGTTTCAAGCCCCCAGGGCTTTATGTCTCTCGACTTCTTTTTTTATTTTTCTCTATCAAAGTTTTGTCTTTTTAAAAATTGTTTTTTTTTTCTTAGCAAGAATATAAGAGTAAACGAAGCGGTGTGACCAGGTGCGTGAGGTTTGTTAATGTATCTCGTGTCTACAGTTCATCCAGACCATGTGACTTATCCAGTTTCTGGATTGTATCTTCGACTTGCTTGAGGACAGGAAGGACACTCCTTTACCACTTCCTGTCGTACGTTCTTTGTTAATCAAAGAGCATGTGTCGGATATCACCCCCCCTTTTTTGTAATTCACTTGTTGAGTTTTTTAAAGTCATTAATTGAATAAAAGTAGAAAGAATGTATTGTTAATTACGTAAATTTTAACGCTCACGATTAGAAAAACTGAGTAATTTTGTTAAATTTCTTTAAAATTTTAAGAGTTTTTTTTTTAAACAGTTAACAGCTCTCTTCTTCTTCTTTTTTCTTTATAGAAATTTAAAAAAATAATGAAAATATCTGTGATGAAAATCTCATGTTTATCAGTACATTATTAAAGCATTAAAAAAAAAGATACAAATAACAGCTGTTTATCCGATTTCAAAGTGGATTTTTTTTTCATAAAAGACACAAAGAAAATGCCTTTGGTATTTATGCTAATATCTATTGATCTTATTAAATGGATAATAGAAAAATTTAAAAAATCACATTCAGATATTGTTCATTCTTTAGTTTTTTTTTGTGTTTTTATGGGTTTTTTTTTAGAATTTTCTTTCGGTAATTACTCCAATCTGTCTTTTTTACTCTATTTTTTTTTGTTAGACCGTTAAATTCACTGCTTACAATTCATTATTCCGTCATATGGCGAAGATGAAACGAAAGTTAAACAACACGGAAAAAGTTGATTCACTCATTTATATATAATTTTTTTATGTATTTTATTTTGACAAAAAAATATTTATAGTATTTATATATATATATATATATATATAATCAGATACAAAAGTACGGCACGTTTTTATTTTATACACAAGGCACTTTTTTTTTTTAATAAAAAAAACCTGACTAGAGATGTGAGCTTAATGCACACCCCTCTGTTGGTTATGCATGACAACTTAAAACATTTATAATTATTTATCTAATTAATTCTAGCACATAAAATAATTACAGAATAAAAGATAAAGTGTGAAATTTTTAATTATTTAACACCATTTTCTTATTTACTTTTTTGAAAAATTAATTTAAAAAAATTATATTCTTCTATGCAATCTCTTAAGTTTCTATAAATCATTAACAATAATAAATTTTATTATTGCTCGTACTATTTAGTTTATTATAATTTAATTTAAACAGTTATAAAATTAAATTTTAAGGCATTTAAAAGCCTTTAGAAGTTCACTTACATAGATTTAAACAGCATTTTGTTATCACAATTAGAAAATTTAATAAGTTAAACTGTAATATTGCTTGTTTATGTAAATTGTTTTTAATTAATTGATGAGGATTAAAGTTGTTTTAAGCTGAATCATTTATATATAAATTCATTTTTTTGTTTTCACATCCATCACAATCACGCGACATTAAATTTATGGACAACACCTTTCCAGAGGGAGAGAGAGTAGAAAAAATTATTAATATTTTTAAACATTTTATAACAAAATTGATAAGAAAAATATATATATATATAATAGACTAAACCCGCACTCCATGAACATTCGTATCAAAATTTATGTACAAAGTTTAACGTCTATAAAAACTACATTAAATTCCCCAAATACGTGGACCACAATACAGAAAAGATATTTACATTTTTATTATTTTTTTTTAAATGGTTAAAATTATGACCATTGTCTAACTTTATATTGTATATTTTTCCTTAATTCACTTATTGTTTTGTAGATTTAACAATGGTAAGTCTATCTAAATTATATACAAGGTAGTCCAAAAGTTAGTTAACCGAAATGTAGCAAATTCAGTTGATTGGAGCTACCCTGTATTTATTTATTTATTAACATTTTAGAATATTTTGAATAAATTTTTTTTAATATTTAAACTCCTTAAAATGAATTTAAAAAAAAACTTTTTTAAGAATCATTTTTATATTGTATTATAGCAATTCTAGTTCTATTAATATATTATAAATATGTAATTAAAAAAAAACATAGTTTGGTCTATAATTTAATCTTAATTTTTCTTTAGGAATGTGTAAAAATGCGCTTCTAGCACTATATAAAACTATGTAAACTTTATACGTTTACATTCATTTAAAAAAAATAATCAAACTTATGCCTCTATTAATTCAAGGCATATGAGTATTCACCTTTATAATATTAAAATGAGTACATTTATATACATATACATAAAAGTTTTCTTCGAGTTATACATAGAAAAATTAATGTTAAAGTCGAATTAAAACGACGAAAGACTAATTAAAAATTGTTAGTAATTTAAAAAAATACAGATGATGATCCCCTACTTATAATACAATTTGGCTTTTATTTATTTATTTTATTATTATATAAAACGTGGCACTGTTGAAAAAATTGTTCTCCTACATAAAATTAATGCACTTTTTTCGTGTCCTTAAGGCACTCTGGTCTTCAATCTTCAAAGTGTTTCGTCATCAGTTTTTTTTTCTTTTCTTTCTTCTTCTTCTTTTTTTTCTTGTGTTAAAAACACTCGAAATCACGTTCCTTGTGATAGTACAGGCGGTCCATAAAGAAACGTCATTGCTGATAATGAATTGTTGGACGATATTGTTCCTGTATGTCTATAACGTAACATTACTTGATCCAACACTCCTAATAGTTGAACTGGATTATCTGAAGGTAACTTCGTAGTACCTATTGGTGACGAACGTAGAGGTGATGATGACTGTGTTTTGCCTTCTATGTTGTCGTCTGTGCGTTTTGTTAGCGCTATACCGTTACTGTTCTGATAACACGGTTGACAATAACCGTGATTGAGCATACGTGCCGATACAGGGAAGGATTTTCCACACTGTGTGCATCTCTCCTGTGCTTCATCTATCATAAAGAAAGACAGATAATTAAAATACAAATTAAACTGTAAAATTGATCATAAAACATATAAAATTATAGTCACAAAAATAACTTTTAATTATCAGAATAAATATCATTTTTAAAAATAAAAAATATAGCTATATATATATAATGTATATATATATATATAGTTATATATTACATATATACGTAGTTATGTCACATAGTTATTTGTAGTTCTCTACAGCAGGGGTGGCCAACAAGTCGATCCCGAAGCCAATTTTGGTCGATCGCTCGCGAGTGTTACACCTGTAACCGAACGCAACTGTAGTGATATCGGATCTCCGCGTCCTCTCTCAGATGCGGTTTTGTCGGTCCAAGTGCAATCCAAGTGCGTACAGTTGTAAAAGGGGAATAAGAAATGTAGACAAAGGGTCGTAAAACGAAAAAAAGAAAGGCCGGAAGAGAGAGACAGAGAGTAGGTCGGGACACGGTAGAGAGAGGAAGGGTGAAGTGGTGGTCCCCGAAAGTGACAACGTTAAGTTTCAATTTTTCTTCTGTTTAAAATGTTAGTACTTTTCTTCATGTTTTAAATTAAATTGTGGCTTTTCTTACCTATCTAAACATAGTATGTATTTCACACCTCCCCTCGCCACTTAGACTATGCCTACGACAACAAGTCGATCGCGACATATTTTTAAGATAAAAAGTAGATCTTATGTATACAAAAGTTTCCACCCATACTTTACAGTATATATACAATACTGCAAAACTTCGGTTATACGCTTTTCAAAGGGTCATCTGAAAAAAACGCATAAATAAAAAAGCGTGTAATTGGAAATCAGTGACAAACTGCCCACTATGCACGTGAGGCATATATCTAAAGGCTCCATATCTCGGGTCGTGAAATTGGAAAAATTGGAACAGCTTTACTATTGCAATTGCATATCATAATTTATAAATAATTTTACAACTAAAGTTAGACATTATTATTTTATGATCTCGTGAAATTATGCAGAGGAGCCCACAATCTTTTGTGCCTAGGGACTCGAAAGATTTTAATCTACCATTGAACGCAAATACCGACCACTCTGCCGGAACTACGAGGTCGCATTAACAATGCATTCGCTCGAATTGACAGGGGCACATTGCACCAGGTGTAAGATAAATGGGATGAATTAGATTACAAAGTTTGTGTGCAAAATCATCAAGATACAAAATACGCAGTAATAAATTTATTGTAACC